TATATATATATATAAATAAAATGTGTAGCTAATTTAAATTGAATAAGGTGGTACTGTAACTGATGGTTAGATGACAGGTTATTGCAGCTGTAGCTGGTGTAGGTGCAGTTGCTGGGCCCTGGGTATTATAGGACCCTCTTTTTGGTTGCTAGTTATGACTTGGCTAAACTTAGGCTGTTTAGGTAGAAATTTTCCTTGTTGGGTCTCTGCCTCAGGCTAAAGTAGAACAGAAAATACGGGGCTGCGGCAGGTGACTTGTGAGGAGAGGTGGAGGGAACTGGGCTGATTGAGTCTGCAGAAGAGAAGACGGAGGGGGATTTGATAGCAGCCTTCACCTCCCTGCAGGGGGGCTGCAAAGAGGATGGAGCTGGGCTGGTCTCAGTGGGGGCAGATACAGGACAAGGAGCAATGGGCTCCAGTTGCAGCAAGGAAAGTTGAGGTTGGATATTAGAAGAAACTTTCTCACAAGGAGGGTGGTGAAGCACTGGAACAGGTGACCCAGAGAGGTGGTGCAGTCTCCATCCTTGGAGATTTTGAAGACCCGAATAGACAAAGCCTTGGCTGGGATGTTGTAGTTGGAGCTGGTCCTGCTTGGAGCAGGGGTTGGACTGGATGTGACCTCCTGAGGCACCTTCCAATCCTCACTTTTTATGATCCTATAACAAAGATGATGATAAACTCCAAAACAGCTAAGAAGATTCACCCATTTGATTAAAAAGAAAAAAGGGGGGAAAATACACTTTTTCCTTAATCCCTTTCAACTTCTTAACACGACTTACAAACTTCTATACTTTACAAACTTCTATACTTTTGAGCAGGGACATGCCATTGGACTGAGGGATTGCTTAGGTATTTAGAGACGCATCTCATGTTTTTCCTGAAAGATCTGCTTGCATGTGCTCCATGGAGGTTTATTGGATCTTGGAAGCTAAATTTTCTAAAGATCACTTCTACAGTTAGCATGCTTCATCCCTTGACAGCTGATGAATACTGGGTTGGACAGCATATATGTGGCTCCCACCAAGGAAATAAGCACTTGCTATTCCAGGGCTGCAAGGGCAGAGCAGGATGTCTGTCTGGTTGCAGCTCTTGGCCATCAGTAGCTGCTGGTGCCTAGCATGGAAACAGCACACACAATTTCCTCTCCTGTATGCTGGGAATGAATCTGGGTGTGTAGTACTTGGGGCTGTCTACAGGACCCTGCTTTCTTTATTGCATTAGTTGGAAGGTATGTGGCAGATGTGCCTGGGCTGGAGGCTGCCAGAAAGGAAAGATGGGTTTGTTGTCACAGCAGCTGAATGCTATCCCACCTCTGCCCTGGAGGTCCCGTGTGATGCTGAACAAGTTGCATAAGCCACAGAGTTCACCGGCTGTCCCCGTTACTATATTTTGACACACCTGGGATCGGACTTGCAGCATGGCTGGGGCTTCTGGAAAGCACATGTAGCGAGTGGGAGCTCTTCTGTCACACAAAGGTCTAGAAAACACAAAGCACTACCAGAAATAAGGCCCCAGGCTTCTCAAAGCACCCACATTTTCCTGAATGTCCCCACCTCAGCTCCTCCAGGACACCCACATGCCTCGCTAAATCCTTGAGGGAATGTAAAGAAACGTGATTTCCATGAGCCCACCATTGAAAAGCCTGCAGTGAAAGCAATGACTCTGTGTTCAGGGCAGGGTTTGGATGGCATGTGGGCCATGCGCTGGATGTTGAGGATGAAAAGAAATACCGAATCCCTCCTGTGCACTGAATTGGGCAAAGCACCTGGGAAGAAGGTGGCTTGATTATCTAATCTAGAGATGGTGCCCAGGTGCAGACCGGCCGGGGAGGAGTATAAAGGCTTCCTGGGCAACTTGAACTTGGGCATTTCCTAATTTCTGAGCACACGACTGTACTCCAGGAACATGCATCGCACTCCAGCCCGCGGTTCAGAATGGAAAACACAGGAAATGTACGTGGAATTGTTCCCCTGTTAAACGTAGCTGACTATTGTAGCAGAAAGGATGCACCTTTGGCCCTTGTGTGTCTGAAACCCTTTGGGCTCGATCCTGTTTACCCCTCGCACTCCAGGCGGTGCGGATGCAGCGATGCGACTGTTGTTTTTGGCACCCGGACACACTTTTTGGTGAAATAGAACAGTGGAAGTGATTGGGGGGATGGGAAGTGGCCCCTTCCAGCTTTTAGCCTGCCAGGGCTCCTGCCCGGGGCTAGTTTTGGTCCTGCTGGAGCAGAGGACGAGGCGAGAACCCAGCCCCCGCCCCGCCCCACATCCTGGTGTGGTCCAGGGCAGCAGCTGTCTCGCTGCGCCAAACATCTTCCGGCTTGTGCTCTTCCCCTAGCGCCACGTGCCCCAGTCGGGCAGCTCGGAGAGGGCTGGGGTGAGTTCTGTCCTTCCCCTTCCTGTGGTGAGAGCACTTTGCTGGGAGGCAGGAAATGGAGGTTCAAATGCTCCCTGCATGAGGGGTGCCCAGAAACTGGGTCTCCCGCTCCCTAAGCATGTGCTCTAATCATTAGGCTATCGTGCCAACAGGTAGGAGGCTCCTCCTCCTTGCCCTCATCTCTTCCTCTCCCCACTCTCTTGGGGGCCCACAGATAAAATTTTGGGACCTGTCTAGCTGGCGTGCAGCCCTGCTGAGCAGGCTTGGTTGCCTAGTGCAGGCAATGTGGAGTCCCCAAGGGCACGCGAGTGCCCAAACGTGCGGTTATGTGGCTGCGTACGTGCCACATGGGTGCACAAAGGGTACATGGAGCCCAGCTCTGTGTAGCAGACACTTCACGACTTCGTGGGGAAGTTTCCAAACTGGGATTTGAATGTAGGTACGTGTGAAAACAGTTCATCGCTTGTGGAGAAGCAGGTGTTGACTAGCTAATGACAGCGTGCAGCGTCGCGCCAAAATGGCCAGATGATAATACTGGACATTTCTAGCATTTTTCATCTGAACATGAAGGACTAAAAACAGTAAAGAACTAATCCATCACATTCCCCCTACATTAAGCCAAGTCTGCAGCCAAAGAGCTTAATTGGGAAAGCTTTGTAGTATAAACACTTAATACTGGCAGAAGCCTGCTTTTGGCGCATATAACTCACACTGGTTCCCGGGGTGACATGCATTGCTTTGGCAGAAGTACTCCTTGATGCTGGTATAACTGTATTTATACAAGGGATTTTGCTGGCATAGACATGTTTAAAAAAACTGCAAGCAAACGGAGCGTGCATCCTAGGCTGACAACACTATCCTGCCAAGATTTTATCACCGTTGCATGGCTGGGGAAAACTTGATGGACAGTGAAGCATTGCCCAGGGTCACACACTGTGTCCTTGGCACAAATGTAAAGAGAACCAGCAGCTTGTGTTTTTTCTTGGGCACAGAGATTCTTATTTTCTTCCTTACAGTTAATGAAGTATTTCCTAATACTGCACAGTTCAACCAGCTGGATACTTTACCAAACTTCTCTATCCAGCTCTGTACGCAAACTAAGTATGGGGGGGTTCTCCATAAGGATTAGGTACCTGTAATAACAGGTCTGGGTACAGAAGGTCTGTGTGTAGCAGTAAGTATAGCGTTCACTTCCAAGCAGACGCTGTAATAAGTGTGGACACTTCCATTGTGGTGCGTCCCACGCTGAAGGACTTCTTCCGCCCTATTCGAGTGTGCTGCGTTCCCAGCTTTGGGCAGGTGGCTTGGGGAGGAGGCAGACTCCTTAACTGCTCTGGGCCCCTCGGTTCCCCTTTCCCGAGGTGCAGAGGGATGGAGCCCAGGAGCCAGCTGTAGCTGCTAAATAAGGGGGAAGGTGATTGATGTAGCAGCCAGCGAGTTTGCTCCCTAACACATTGGGGAAGAAGGGGAGCACGGAGTGGAGTAGGCTGTGAGTGTGTTGGGTTTCTCGCAATCTGGGACCTCCTTGCTTTCCACCTTTTGAGTTGGTGTTAGGAGAGCATGCTTGCTCCTGGCTCCTCTCTTCTGGGACACAGAGCCCGCTTCGGAGCAGCTGGGGTGCCCTTTTAGGAGGAGGGGAAAAGGAGCTGGGGAGTCTTTTTGGGTTGCTAGCGCCGTGCACCGCAGCCTTGCAGGAAGGCAGGGCCAGTGCCTGATTGAGCCCTGTCATGTGGAGGGGAGGTGGGAAGTAGAGGTCACCCCTGCCCTCTTGGCACATCCTGCCTGCCCTTGTTCCTCCTGCTGCCAGGCAGCATGGACAGGAGTCTGTCCTAACGTCTTCCCTTCTCTGCAGCTGGCTGCAAAATAGTCTGATTGGCTTCAAAATGAGATGGGGCCGGGGGCACCAGTAAGAACACAGGTTTGCCTTTCAAAGCAGTTTATTCCAGAGCCAGTACTGATGGTGATAGACTAAACTCGGTACGTGGGAAATGACAGGCTTGTGTTAAATGATTGCTCTTGGTGATGGGGGAGCCTGTTTTGCCTGTTTGTGTGGCTTGCAGTTGTTATAGTGAGGGGCTGGTGGGACGGCTCTGAAACCCAGCTGAAAATTGTGGGTTGGAAAGTTCAACTAGACTGAAGAAAAAAAAGGGGACAGAAATACTAGGATATAACAGAGCACAGGTTGAAGAGGAGACGACTCCAGAGAGGTGGAATCAAAGTGCACAGAGCAAGGAAGAGGAAAGCACTCGCCAAAGAATTGGGCTGAGATCAGCGCCATGACTAGGGACATGCCTGAGGTCTGATCTAATACAGGTATCCCTATATTGTACACCACGTCCCTATATCCCTGTAATGCACGCCATGCTGTCACGAGCTTGATGTTGTACGGACACATTTGTCCATAGCATCTAGCTTTGGGGTTGCCCCTTTATCCCTAATAATTAGAACAAAGGTCTATTTGGAGGCCTAAAAAAAGAAATATCACCCTTAGAGATGTAGGACAGGGAAACGTGAATAAATTGAGACAACACATTGCCTATGCATATTAGTTTATGAACCCCAACTATAGCTAGGGAAACCTTGAACTGCACGAGTTCTGTTCACCTCGTATTGAAAGCAGATGGAGCGTAGCCTGAGTCGACACTGAAAACAGAAGAGCATGGCGTCTGAAGAAGCTAATCCTGGAGTTCACTGCTACATTAAATAAGAATTGCAAGGCGCATGCTTCTAATGTCTGGTAGATGAGGATGCTTTAATACTTTCTCCTTGCTCCATGTGTTAGCGCTTTTTTTCCTCCATGTTGACCCTCCTTAATCAACTTGACTCGGTAGCTGTACATCTTGTATCGGGTGCTCTCTTTACTGAGCAATACCAGTCTGGCCGCATGATTTCTCAAAGATATCATAGATTCGTATCGAGTGGTTCTGGTTTATTGCTTTACGTTCACAATCCCATAGTTGTGGGCGGTTGCGTGGCAGATCTTGTGAAGAAGGGATGTTAATGGAACGGCTCTGAATGTGCAATGTCAACTGGCCGTCTTCTGGATATTCTGGAAAATGTCTGTCGTGACTGAGCACTGTCTTTTGGAAGTGGTCTGTGGCTGGAAGAAGTATGCTTCACATAGCCTAACTTCTGTGACTTAGTAGAGACTGTTCAAAATAGTCACGTCTGTAGAGGTATCTAGAATGACTGTCCATCCAGTTCTCATTTCAGAGGCAAAGGGAACAATTATTTACATAAAAACAAACCTGTACCCATGTTTTCTGAATACAGCTTCAATATCTTTCTGCTTTTTCTTTTTTCAAAGAAGCAGCAGCTTCCAATGTTTATGCCAATGTTTAGCTTTTTAAAACTTATTCAAATTAAAGATCAACCAGAAGACTATTAAATATCTTAGTTGGTGAAGTAAAATCAGAACTTCGCTTTTATTTTAACTTACTTCATTGATGCATTCAGTAATATGGCAAGAAATGGGTGGAAGAGAGTCCATATAACCGAACAACAGTTACTTTTTAATATTGTTCCTGAGCAACGTATCTTGCACTGTAAGGTAGCAGTCCTGAGAAGTTTATGGGTTATTTAAAACAGAACAAAAAACAGCGATAGTCCAGAAGATTCATATTCAAACTTGATTAATGTTTGTTTGCTCTCCAATTGTTTAGAGGACTGGATGACTCTATTTCCTGTTCTTCAGTTCATGCTGAACACAGTGCGGGACTGACTAAGGCGGTGCATGATTACAGGTAATGATACCACATTCCAGTTAAACTATGACTCGAAAAGATGTCAGGGATGTACTGGAGCGCTTACGGATAGCCTTGCATGGAGAATCATAGCAAAGCGAAGAGTGTTTGGTCTCCCTCTGGTTGTTCACACCAGTGCTGAATGTGGATGGAAACATGTTTTGTCTCCTTACCTCTGTCAGGTTTTTTTTTCCACCAATATCACTGCCTTCAGCAGTGGGATTATAAATGCTGATATTGGAAAATGAAGAGGAATTATTTTGCTGACTCATGTCAGAACTTGCTTGTGATCGGTTTAAGATTTATTTTTTTTAAAAACAAAATATCTTTGACTTCCAAATTTTTTTAGCGTAAACCACGACCTGCACAGATGTGACACGGATGTGCACAGATGTGGAAAAAAGTGAGAGGGAAGGTGGGCTGGGTGAACACTGTGCAGCAGAGCAATGACACAGGATATTGAAGTTTTATATGGAAGTCTTAGCTCATGAGAGTCCCGGCTCCGGCTCTCAGGATGGGGTCTGTCGAATAACTGCAGCTCCACCGAGCGCTGCAAGGTTTTATATAATGACGCGTTACTTCCTAAGTTATACATGTGACCACCATCTTTTATATCTCGGAAAGACCGGCATCATACTTGTGCATAATTTCCTGTCACTGTTCAATCCTGTTTTTCTGCATGCTTGCTATTTTCCAGATAACTGTCCATTAATTTAAAAAAATATATTTTTCCTAATTGTTGTTTACATTGACATATTTTGGGGTATAGTATATCTCAATGTATGTAGCCCACTGCTGCAATCTTTACAGTTTGGCAGAGAACTAGATTTTGTTATTTTGTCTGTTTTCTTGACATCTCTGTTTTTTGTCCAGAAAATTAAATTATAGCTCAATTTGAGCCTAAGTTAGAATTCAGTGTCTGGATTCTGAAGACGTAGTCTGTCTTCCAGAGATACATTTTTGTTCTTGTGTTTTTCAACCAACATGTATATTTTGTACATCCATAGCTGACTTTTTAAAGGGATTGCAGACTGGGAAATAACCTAATATTCTCTCAAATGACTGTGAATATAACTGCTTTAAAATAATGGAGGTTATTAAGTATGAGTATGGTATAGATTATCCACAGCCAGAGTGTAAATGTCTCTTTGGATCTTCCTCAATATAGAAAATTATTCTATGGAGTAAATGAAATTGCTGTGAAAGTGCCTTCCATTTTTAAGCTTCTGATTAAGGAGGTAAGATCACTTTAAGAAATTATTCTGTAGAATTAAAATACTTGGAGGGGTGCTGAACACGGGTGAGGCTTCAATTGGTGATTGCAGTCAAGGGAAAAAAACATTTGCATAGAAATGAAACTGGCTTGATTTGGAAATATGAAGGGGGGGAGCCTGCTGTTGCAAACTGTGCAGGGCCAAAGACCAGTTCTGTGTGCGAACCAGCAAGAGCACTGGAGAGAGCAGCATTTGCTGTTCAGGGTCTGTAAACAGAGCGTGGGTTGCAGCGGACTCATCTAATCGGATCACGTTTCTCCTGTTCCACTGTCCTCGTCTCTTGGTAAATAGAGATTTGAACAATCGACTCACACTTTTCTGTCTTAGGGGCGACATTGTATGCAAACTTGTTGAGCTTTGTTACCATGGGCTCCTTAGAAAAAAGAGACTGACCTTGGGGAGTGCAGTTAATCTTAATATGTCAAATAAACCTGTCCTATTCTTGCATATGCTGATAAAGGTCTAGTATTATGGGATCTAGGGCTTTTTATCATGACCCCCAAAAGGGGGACGCTTTTCAGGTTATTCAGGGCCGAAGCCCCAGGTGGCCTGTTCACCCTGAGACAGGAGTCCAGTGACGACTGCCACAAATCCCTTTTCAGCCAGTGTGTTGACTGCACTGTTGTTTTAAAATTGCCCAACTGTAGAGAAAAGTATTAGCGCAGCGGGAGGGAGCAATGTGGATATGAAATGGCAGGAGAGCAAAAAAACCACACGGTTGGTTTAGCAGAACTCGGATGTGAAATCTTGACCCCAGGGGAGGCAGGCAGGGTGCTGGGCAGGAGAATTTTTTGGAACAGTTTTTTCTCTCATTTAATACACTGCTGCCGTTGACTTCGTTGAGAGCTTTGTGACTTTTGGCATTGGTCCCTCTTAAAAGTTGGAAATCACTGTCCTAATGCTTGCTGGACTTTACACTGGCATATGAAGTGAACTGGTAGTAGGAAAACAGGAAACGCATGGGCAAAGTTTTATTAAGCGGTTGTCAAGTACAAGGAGCTGAAAAGTCTTTCTGCACCACTTAATTCTGCCCAGGACAGTATGTGACTTTAATGTTTTCTATTGCAGGTCCTCAACCCATTTTACATTTTCCAGCTATTCAGTGTGATATTGTGGATCACTGATGAGTATTACTACTATGCATTAGCAATTGTCGTTATGTCCGTAATATCCATCATTAGCTCACTCTACACCATTAGAAAGGTCAGTTCAAATTGCAATGGTTATCTTTGTCAGTTGTTTCTGTGTCATTTTAAGATGGAATTTGGGTTTTTTGTAGTTAATCTTTTCAAACAACGTAAATAAGGCCAGCTAATTAAGTGCAACCGAGCTTTTCACCCAAGTCCTTCATGTGCTTTCTTCAATGAAGATACTTTTTATAATTTCAGAGTTAGTTGCTTAAATGAGATTGGGCCTCATTGTCTGGCCCAGCCTCTCTTGGTCTGCTATCTGGTACCATGTAAACCAGTACAGCCTGCTCCATGGTCGGGTTGTCAGCGACTAAACCAGCACCCCCACCTGCACTAGCCTGGGTGAGGGGGGTGTGTGGGCACCCAGCAGGACTGAGAACAAGACCTGTCGAAGGGTGAATGAGCTCCCTGTGCGCCAGTGGCCGTTATACTGGAGAGGAGATGGGCGCTGCCCGATCACTTTGCCCGAAGAATCACCAGTGATGCAAAACAACTCAACTAAGGTCCTGCAGAGTAGAGGAGAGTTGTTATAGCGTATAAGTTACCCCAGCGGTCTCGGCAGCCTTGGGATTGACTTGACCTAGTGAGTGTGAGGGAAGAGCCCACTCGCAAAGGCCGGCAGCAGTCAGATACAGAGCCGCGAGTCCCCATCTATGTGGGCTGTCCTCGTATCTAGAGTCTTCTGCTGGGTAAGAGAGGGTGGGGTCAATATTCTGTTTGGGACCCAGCCCCAATGTCGTTGCGTGTTGGTGAGCCTTTGGTTTGGGTCAGGATGGGTGTTCTGGATGCTGCTGACGGGTGGAAAAATGCCACTTCATCTTCCATTCTGCCCCACGTCAGGCTGCTCCGCCTTACACAGCTTCCTCCTTGGAAGACTGAAGGGAGGAAGTGCCTTGTGAAACTGAGATCTGGTGATCCCCTTTCAGTGCCGATTTGGCAGCTGTAGTTCAGGTGCGGTTATACCTTACCTCATGGGGCTGTGCATTCAGAGCCAGAAAGACTTGACTGGAGACAAAACGACCTCAGAGCCATGTAAATTCAACAGGATGAACTTCGGGAAGGGCGAGTGCAGAGTGCGCTTGTGAAGGATGACTCAATTGCCCAAATACAAAATAGTTAGGCTGCAGTATTGTAGGAAAAGCTCTGGATCACAAGTTGAACAGGAGTCAACAATATTATGTTGCCCCCCCAAAAAGGCGAACCATATACTAGAACATATTCACAAGTGTCATGTGCAAGTCAGGGGAAATGACTCTCTCGCTCGGTTCAGCCCTGGGGAGGCATTGATGGGAATACTGCATCCAGTTCTGGGCACCGCACTCTTAAGGAAGAGGTGGACAGATTTATCTTTGGATTCTCTCCAGCAAAAATGATTAATGATCTGGAAAAATGACAGATGAGGAAAGACTGGAAGAACTGGGAGTATTTACTCTGCAGAAGAGAGGAGGCTTTGGTAACAGTTTTCAAATAGGAAAAGGGTGGTAGACTTTTGTGAGTACAGGCAGGAAGTAGTTTAAATTACAACAAGCACTGTTTAATTTACAAGTTCTCCCCAAAATTTGCCCTGTGAGGGTGGCTTAACACTGGCAAAGATCACCCAGAGAAGTCCTGATTGGGCCCTTTTGAGTGCGAGTTAGACCAGCGTCTGAGATGGCTGAGAGAGGGGGTGATCCGCTCTGAGTGGGGGGTTGGACTGCAGGACCCTGGGCCCCTTCTGTCTTATAGATTCATAGATGCTAGGGTCGGAAGGGACCTCAATAGATCATCGAGTCCGACCCCCTGTATAGGCA